TGTTAAGAGGGTGGGAAGTCTTATTATGGTAATTGAAAGGTGGAACCTTGAAGAGGTGATTAGATTTGTTTCATGGTAAGAATACTCAAATATACTTTTAAAAATACAGTGTTTTGGTTTATGTTGAAATGTGGGGAGACATTTTATGAGTCTTATTTAACTTTTGCTTTGTAATTCTGTGTCTGTCTGTACGACAACAGATGTCTGCTGTTTACACCTCTAGCCTGTGGTATTTGTTATGCAGCAAAAGCAAGCTAATACAACTGAGGATGGAGCTAGTGCACAAGAAGGCCTGGAAGAGAGACAGAAAGAGCTGGGGACTGCAGCCCATCCTATCTCTGGACTTCCAGAAATGTCATTTGTGTTTCTGTACTTTTTTTAAAACTCAGTTTGATTTGGGGTTTTCTGAATGGAATAAGGAGTGTTCCCTTAAGGTCCTGTATTGTGGCTGTAGTATACATAGAGGCATGTGGGATTTTGATTTATATTTTGCTATCTGTACTGCAAGAGATTCCCAGAGGATTTTTGTTTTTTCTTTTGTTCTTGTTTTACCTGAAGCAGAAAATTATTAGGCAATGGTTCAGTAGTTTATAATAAATGTGAAGATGCGACAATTTGTTGGCCACCACATCCAGCGCAGAAGATGACTGTCTGAAGTTTGGCCAAGTGTGCTGTTTCTGGTGTCCTGTCCTTTACTAGGGACATCATGTTTAAGGGATGAAAAACAGCAACATTCCCCTGAGCTCCATCACTTATAATGGTTAGTAGTGCCATTACTACAGCCCACAAACTCCCATTTTTGTTCAATCAATCCCAAGGGCTCCTGAGATATCCAAGGGATCCAGGGGAGGGGTGTTACAAGGCCGTGCTCTAACCAAAATGATCATACTGCCCAAACTGATCTATAGATTCAATGCAATTCCTACCAAAATATCAATAACATTCTGCACAGAAATAGAAAAAACATACAGAACTGGGGGTTGGCCAGTTTGCTCAGTTGGTTAGAACATGGTGTTGTAACACTAAGGTTAAGGGTTTGGATGCCCACACTGGCCAGCTGCCAAAAACAAACAAAAAATTACAACAAAAAAAGAAATAATAATCTATTTTGAAAGGCGAAATGGAAAACTCTGTCTTGCCCTTGCATAAAGAGATGGAGCTTCTGCACCTGGAACTGCACGTACAGCTCCATTTGCTGTCTTCTGATCATAATGCATTTGATGGGTATCACCTATGTTTGATGGAGAGAGAGAGTAAAAGATTTTAGAGACCCCTCAAATTGAAAGGAAAGAAGTCTGGACTGGGTGCAAGTCTTGGCTTCATCATTAACTTGTTTTTGATGTGGTTGCGTTACTTAATTTCTCTGCACCTTCTTTAACTTTAAAAGAAAAATCATTTCCTGGAAAAATACTGAGTAAATAATCAGTCGGTCAATAAGTTGAATGGCGCCAAAGGTCATATATGCATGAATGAGATTAATGCTGGACCTTAGAACCTCTAATCTCATCACAATGACAATACCCTGAAAGAAGTTCCAAGCTTTTTTTCAATTTCACCAATTGCTGGTTTCTGCCCTAATTGTTTCTGCATCTGATTTGGAATGTGCTCTTGTATGTCTTTTGATGATTTCCAGTTTTTTTGTATTGGTGGGATTATACATTTTTCTAAGGATGGGACCAAATCTTATTGTGGTTTTTATGGATTCCTGTGGATTCAATAGGTGCTTATGATATGGTGGTCAAACACATTTGGTCTGGTGGAAGGAGTTCGGTACTTGGGGTCAGTAGATTGATATTGTCATCCAGACACCAGCCATTACTTACTGGGTCTTCTTGGGCAAATTAATTTACACCTCTGCACATTTTTCTTTTTGTGTTAGATAGGAAGAAAAAGTTGCATCTCACAAACTTGTGTGGATCAGAGATGATCATTAATTACGACTCTATGATAATTACCATAATTGTCATAATAACACAGGAATCATTGTTCTGTAATCACCGAACACGCTTCATTCATGTAAACGGCTTAGCCCAATGCCTGAAATGTATGACTCTCACCATTATGATTCTCTATAAGGGATAATGTCAGAGAGCCAGATGATTAGTTTGTGCTGAATTGACCACTTAGATTCGGCCCTTTTTCTTTCTTTTTTTGGTCTTTTAGAGTGGTTTTTAAATTGGCCATCTTGGCTGTATATGGTTCTTAAACAGCTTGAATCACACTCAGTTGGTTGTCTTACACTTTGTTTTTAAAGAACTATTTGATGCTAACCAAAATGTAAAAACACACTTTCATTTTTCTAAAAAGTCAGAATACTTTGCATTATGTCAAAAATTAGCCACAGCCAAAGGTTGTCCTGTTTACCTGGATGTGTTCTGTCCTGTTAGCCATGGTCCCCATCTGTCTCTACTGCCTTCTAACTCAGAGGCCAAGTATCAGTTGCTGTTTGTCACCACACATTTGCTGTTATCTTCCAAATAGCAGAGCTAATAGGAAGTAAAATACCTGTTTTTTCTGTATACATATCAAATAACAGAAAACAAAAATTAAACCAAGAATACCCAGTATTCCCCTTGACCCTGCTTACTCATGCAAGTTTACTGCACGGTCCTTTTTATCTGGTGACTTTATTATTGGATCAAATTCAGGCCCAACAAATATTTCTTGTCTACTTTATACTAAGAACTGTGCTGTGTATATTTGTATATCTCATTTAATTCTTCTAACCAGTGTTTGAGATAGATAATGATGGTGATTATTTCAGTCTCTTTAAGGATGAAGAAACGGAAGCTTAGAGAGGTTTGTGAACTAGCCTCAAATCACACAGCTATTAACCAAAAGAGCTAGGCCTTACACCCAGACCCGGACAGTTCTCAATTATTTTTATCTTCACTCTAACATAGAAACTCTGCCTGAAATCTTGAAACAAAAGTATTACTTCTCCATTAAATAACTACTACTTTTTTGTTTGTTTGTTTAACTGTTGTGGGAAATAGAAAATGTGATTTTTATATAAAACTTATAAACTTCCTTCCGAAACATAAATTATAATAGGAAGTAAGGAGTGAAATCTCCTTGAAGTAGTCATCTCAGGCTTTCAGAATATTGTTTGCCAGTAGGGAAAACGGCAGTATTTCTCATTGGAATATAGAGACCTACGTACAGAGATTTTTGTCTCCCATCTAGGAGTAGATCTACTTGCCAGTTGCAGAATTCTGACTTTGCAGCATTGAATACTCCAGGTATGCCAGTGGTTTATTCTAAAGTTCAAATGAGTTGTTGTATATGCCTTTATTTTTATTACAATTTTTTCCCCCTAATGTTTTGGCACCAGATGCAGAAAATTTCCTATGTAAAAAACAGATACAGATTCTTATAGTATGAAGAGAATTGAATGAGAGATTGGAGTTTTAAGGTTCTTGGCCTAACCACATCCTTGCCTGGGACTTTGGGCATATCATTTTATTGTTCAGAGCCTGCTTTCTGAGAATGCTAATATATAAATACTAATAAAAATACATATAATAGACCTTACTTTGTAGGGTTACTCTACAAAGGTTTTTTTTTGGGGGGGGGGGGCTGGCCAGTATGGGGATCTGAACCCTTGACCTTGGTGTTACAAGGCTGTGTTCTAACCAGCTGAGAAATGGGCAGCCCTACAGACCTGTTTTTGTAAATGTGGTTTTATGAGGACAAAGCCATGCCCATCTATTTACTACACTCTGTGACTGCTTGCCCACTACAAAGACAGACCTGATTAATTCCGGACCTTATGGCCAAGACAGCAAAGTTCTTTCTATCTGGCCCTTTTCAGTCAAAACGTTTGTCAACCTCTGCTCTAGACACAATTATCAGCTTACAGGAAACACAAGAAATGGAGGAATTATTAAAACACACCATCAGAACACAATCAAAATAACAGAATAATGTTGGAGTTTCTAAAAGAATGTGTAGCTCTGCAAAAAATTCAACATAATGGAGAAAAAAGTGCTACATACACGTGTTTCAAAGAGACTGAATAGGTAAACAAATACAGCATAGAATCCTTGAATGGAGGGCCGGCCCGGTGGCGCACTCGGTAGAGTGCAGCGCTTGGGAGCACAGCGGTGCTCCCGCCGAGGGTTTGGATCCCATATAGAGACCGATCTGCTCACTGGTTGAGTGAGGTGCAGGCGTGACACCGAGGGTTGTGATCCCGTTGCTGGTCACGAAAAAAGACACAAAAGGGGAAAAAAAAAAAAAAAGAATCCTTGAATGGATCTTAGATCCAAAAACACCCAAAAGCTTATTTTAAAACAATGTGGAAAAAAAAATTTTTTTAAGTAAATATTACATTACATGACGGTATTGTTTCTCATTTTCCTGTTTGAAATAATAGCATTTTACATTTAGTAGGACAATGTCTGTATGTTTAGGAAATGGATTAGCAAGCATTTCAAGGTCAAATCTCATGTCTACTTATTTTCAATTTACTATCAAATAATCCACTGCAAAAAGTATTTTATCTATCAGGGGAGAGAGCAAACATTCAAAGTGGTAAAAATGGGTGAACCTACTACAATATGTGTTGAGTGCTCAAATTACCAGTATGTTTAAGATCTTTGGAAAGAGAAATATGGGGAAAAATACATTTGGTCCAACAATCCTGTTAGTGGTAAACTCAACTACTCTAGGACTAGAGTCATAAAGCCTCCACTCCTTCCTGGAGACTGCTTGTTTTTAAGCCGTATGGGGATGTACAGGCCTAGGAACTTGAGATGAAGAGAGTGGCTGAGTATTCTTAGAATTCTTCAGTAGGAAGACTTAACGGTGTACAAACGTTTATATTCACATACAGAACTACATGCACGTCCTAGACACCTAAGAAAGTATCTTCATATTTCTACCTGAAAGGAATGGTCAAAAATAAAACAAGACGCACAAATACTCGGATGAAACATTCATAAGAAAAGAAGAGGCCTTCTGGAACCAACTCTCACTCACCGTTCACCGGAACGCACCTGGATCTCCAGGTCTGAGGCGGGTGGACCCTGGGGATCGAGTCAGCATGACTTGAACGGAGGAGATTCTTTTCCTTCTGGAAAAAAATTCACAAAAATTGCTTCGAGGACTTTTGAAGAGGGGGGCACACTGTATGAAAACACCCCGCGGACGAAGTATAACAACACTCCCCGACTCGGCTCCTGAGGGAGACGAAGGCCCGAGCGGCTTCTCCGACCTGGCCGCGCTGAGAGGGCCCGCGGCCCCGGCCTCTCTGAGGAAGCCTCTAGGCAGCCTGGGCCACGCCCGTCCTCCAACACCACCCCTTCACGCCCAAGCCGGCCCATTCACGCGGAACTCCCGAAATACGTGGTTTACCCAACACCACCAAGAAGTGGAACAGCGGCGCGTGGAGTTAGCGTGGCAGAGACGACGGCGCGCCGCTGACGTCACTTCCGCTTCCCACGTCGACCCGGGTGGGGCTGCAGAGCTCGGGCCTCCGCCACATTGCGGTCTCCCAGGTGGAGAATTTCTAGTTTCCTCCCGCGTGGGTGCGGAAGTGCCCTGAGGTGGGCTCAGCGCCGGGGCTGGAGGTAGAAACAGACCCAGAGGACAAAATGGAAGTTAGTACCAGATTTCTAGGCGGGGCTACCGGCGGGGGGTGGTGCCTATGTGTTATGCATCTAGAATTGACAACCGTTTTGCTGTGTTAATATCCAACCTTTTTTT